TGAACTAGAGGAGAATTGGGGGGGAAGTGCTGTGGAACCACCACAAAACAGTCCCCACAGCACCCTGATGGTTCCTCCAAGCACCTGAGATGCTCCAAGACTTCTGGTGAACAGAGGCCAGCAGCCTCTGCTTGCATCTGTAGCTCACAGCTGTCCCTTCTCCATATTCCAGTACCTTAGAACTTACCAGGAAGCCTAGCACCCCTGCAGGAAAGCACCCTCCTGCCTTGGAGGGAAATGGTCACCCCACAGGCTCCTGGAGCCTTTGGGAGACCCCTGTTTCCACTCTCCCCTTGGAGTATTGTCCTAGCCCTGCTGCCTTACACATGGGCTTCAGCTGTCCCAACAGCTCCTCCCGGGACCACTTCAGCCACTCTCGACGGTCGCTGCTGATGGAACAAAAGATGGGGCTGCAGCCCTTTCCACAATCCTCCAGGGCTGGGACGTTCAGGTAGTGCACAAGGACGATGTCAGGGTTCTGAAGGCACAAGGGTACACACACACGGCACCATGGGATCTTGAGGTCCAGGGGCTCAGCTTCCTAGTCCTCACTTTCTTCCTGGGCACCATTCCAACCTCGCCCCCAAGTTCTGGCATTCTCTATCCGTAATCCCCTTTCTTCTTCCCAGAATCCTTTACCCACTCAGAACCTAGTCATCCTTCCACTGCACCTTTTCAGACCCCATCTCCCTCAAAAAGCCATGAAGACTGTGGCTCCCTGAGCTCTTCAGTCTTACCTGTAGCAGCCAGTAGCAGCGCCGATGGAATGTGGGGACGATGGAAGAGTGAACGTAGCAGCCATAGAGACACTGCCAGGAGACAGGCTGGGGTGGGGGGAGGGCTAGTCTGCTCCCCAACTCTTCCTCTGTTCAGTTCCTTTGCAGGAATCCCAATCTTTCCACCAGTTCCTCTTCAACCTTCGCCCACCCCCACCCATTCCGCACATCTTTAAAATCCCAGCACCCCAAGTCATAGATGAGGGTTAGGAGAAGGGGAAAATAGGACCAGGGCCTTACAATGAGGACCACATTTGAGATACGGGGCTATTTAGAAATCAGAGGGCATGGCAAGGACACATCTGAAATGAGGAGCAATGACTTTGGGAGGAAAAACCTGTGCTTAGAGGTTCAGTACTTGGACCCCTAAGGGAAATTCAAGAGAAGTCAGAGGACTGGACATCAGTGTCCTCCAGGGGAGGGATGACGTAAGGCCTAGAGAGTTGGGTCGTGGAGGGAAATGGGAAGCAGAGAATAGGCTAAGCCATCAGCCAGCCAACGCAAAGTGAATAAGAAAGGAAAAGTGACTGGGAGGGTGGTGAGGTGGATGATGTTACCAAGCCATGGCAGGGCTGGAACCCAGCTAAAGCTGGAAAAGGGCAGGGCAAGGGAGATGAGCTGGATGCCTTGCTTACCTCCATGCCCTGGACCTTCAGCTTCATGTGGTCCTCTCGGGTGGTCTTCCCATCCTTCCGCTTCTTCCAGAGGTAACCATCCTTCCGATATTTCACCTTCTTCCGGTTGTAGAGGATAATGGAGCCATTCTGAGGTCTGAAGATGGAAGGGTTGGCCTCGAGTTCTGTGAACAGAACCCAGGACCCCTGCCACTCCTTACCTTCACAAACTTTCTCACCTTGTCTTTGGGGCACAGGATAGCCACTCATCGTGCTTCTCAAAGGTGATCAAGTAAGATGCAATCTCCTGTAGGAGAGGAGGTACTCAGGTGAGTGTCCTCTTCATACAGTCTCAGTCTAGCCTCTGTCACCCACTCAGTTTCACTCTGCTGAGTTTTGGCAGCTAGTGGAAGATGCTGCCAGGTATATGGACCCAGCAAGGCCCACTGCCCTAAGCCTCCCAGGTTCCATCTCAGACAAAAGTCTAACCTCTCCTTCCCTTCCTCCCAGCTGGGGCAGGTCTTGGGGGCAGGTCCAAATTCTTCATCATCCATTCTTCATATTGCTTATTATTTTACTCTCTCCAAATTCCATTTTTGTGCCATTTCCTGACTCAAAAAACTTCAACAGTTTGACACTGCCAGAAAGTCCAGATTCCTCAGCCTGATTCCAAGTTTCTCCCAGGCCAAGAGTCAAACCATCATTCCCACATTCCTCCTATTTACTATTTACTCATATTGCACCTACCATTCCTGCCAGACTGGTCCATTGATTCTTCCCTGAACATGCCCTGAGTGGTAACCTTCGGAATGTTAGTGCCCTACACATCTGAAGTGCCATATGCACATCTCTCTGAGTCTGGAAACACTAGCCTTCCTATAGACCAAATCCCTTCTCAGATCTCCATGAAGCCCTGCTGACCACCCTGGCCCTTCCTGCATTTGCAATAACACTCACGAATACTCTTTTATTGACAGTTCTCTTCTAATTAAATAATCAAATCAATAATAATCAACCCCCAAGTACATACAAAACACTGTGTGTGAGGAGTACAGAACATGTGTAACATCGGATGGTGCCCTCTAGGAGCCAGTATCAGTGGTGGTTAAAAGTAGGGGATCTGGAGTGAGTTCTGTTAACTACATGAGGTAAGTCATTTTCCTCATCTAGACTCTGGGTACAATAGTGCCTGCTCTATAGCATCATTAGTGGACTGAATGAGAATGCAGGTCAAGTGCTTAGCACAGTCCTTGGTTTGTAAAAAAATACAGATGGCAGCTATTATTTTTACCCCAGTGGATATGCCAAGAAGTAAGCTCCTACAAGATGTAGATCTTTCGACCTCTCCTATGATCCCCAAAGAGCCCAGAACAGTACTCTGCACTTGGGAGTGTGGACAGACAGAGGAAGACCCCTGCCATTTACCCTCCTCCAGCCCACCAGGCCTTGCTAGGCCCTAATCCCCCAGGCTCCCTAGAAAACCTCATTTGTATTCCACCGTAGCCGCTCTGGAGGCAGCAGCGGACACCGAGGAAGACACTCCAGCAGCTTCTTAGGGAGAAAGATCTTCAGGTGGTGGCTGTTTTCTAGAGGGAATTAGAAGAGATTAGTGTGCTAGCCTAAGGGCAAAGGGCTGAGTCCAGAGAACCGGAGGAAATTGAAACTATGACAAGGAGAGGAGGGACCTAAGAATTACAGGGTCACCACAGTGTGAGGAGAAAAAAGGCTGTGCCCAAACGGGAACCTCGATTGTGAACTCACCAGCAACCTCGGTGGTGTCCTTGGTATTCATGGTGAGGGCTCCAGGGGTGAGGTCACCCCCGGCCTGAGGGGCCGGGGGGAGGGGGAGTCTGTGCTGAGAAGGGAGAGAACAGGTCATGGCAAAAGTCCCCACACTTATCCAGGAAGAAGATGATGAGATGGGAGAGGGAGTACAGAACTGGGTCATGACACCTTGGAAAGATGAAGGAGAGAGGAAGGAGCTAGACTCTGATGTGAGAACAGAGCCAGGGAATGGAAGAGAGAGAGAAACCAGACGTGCTGCCAGGAACCAAAGTGAGAGGGGTAGACATGACAGAACAGGGTAATCATGAAGAGTGGGTGGGGGAGGGGAGAAGCCTGGCAGGGCTGGTGCTCAACAGCGTGGGCTCTTGTGGAGACTGGGGCTTCGGTGGGGTCAGGTTCTGAAGGCTGGGACTCAGGGCATCCAGTCCTTGGAGAAGAGTTTGGCAAATGAGAGCCTGGCTGCTGGGGGTTGGGCAGATCTAAGTCCGAGTGGAGAGCTAGGCCTTAGAAGACACACCCTGAGTTCCTCCTCTATGTGATTTTTCCAAGAGGAAAGGCAGATCTTATAACTGATCCTAACCTCTCCCTCTGGTCCAGGTTGGTCAAGGCCTAGTACAATCTGGGCTAGACACCGAGGAACATGCTTTCCACCCTCAAGACAACCCATCCTCCATCCTAAGGCTGACAGCCCTCTCCATTCCCTACCCATCTCTCCTTCCCACCCTTCCCATACGCCTCTGCCTACCCTGGTCTCCAGGCCTATCCTACACCATCTACAACTCTGACTCCAGCCTAAGCCCCCACCTTCCTGGGGGAACAGATGGAAACTGGAGGAGGCTCTCAGCGCGGGCTCCGCCAGGTGTCTGGAGATGAAGAAGGGGAGGAGGCCGGTCCGAGCTCGGCTGCGTATGGTGGTGCCTGGGTTGGGGTAAGGACTCCGCTCCAGGGCGCAGGTGCGCAGTCCGGGCTGGACCGCCTGCCAGGGTGTGGAGCGGACCTGGGGGCGTCCCCCTATGGAGGGGCGGTGGTCCCAGGAGAAGCTCCGAGGTAGGAGGGTCTTGCCTCCCGCCCGCACTGAGGGACGTTCTGGAGAAGCTGCGGAGCAGAGTCCGCGGGCGCGCGGCCGGCGAAGGGCAGCAGGGGTTCGGGGGTCCCCAAGGTAGTCCCCACGCGGCAGGTCCACCGTGGGGTCCTACGCCGAGCGGCGCCCCCTGGCGCGGGGGAGGAGGACGGAAGAGGGCTGTAGGGGCGAACCCGGAGGAGGGGCGGTGGTCTCCGGTGCCGCAAGCCACGTCTGGGCTGGTGGAGCTGCGCCCCCTGGCGCGGGGGCGGAGAGGCGGGCGAGAGGCCCTGGCTCTTACCTCCCGGGGTCCCGCGGGTGACGGCGGCAGCGGCCATTCTACCCCACACCGACCCCCCCCAGCGCCTGCTGACAGCGGCGTCCGACGTCAATGCGCACGGGGCGGAGCTTCCCAATTAAGGGGAAGGGGGTCGGGAAGGGGAACTCGGAAAACACACGTTGGACTCTGGGTGGGACGCTGGCCGAGGGACAGACTGCCGGGAAGTCCCTAAGGGGGCAGCAGTGCGGAGGAGCAGGATTCCGGGATCAGGCGGTGGAAGCTCGGCCGACTGGCGTGACCCCCGGGCCGGGAGAAGGGTGTGGGTCGCCGTCCAGTGGTGGGAGACAAACGGTGGACTGCGGGCAGGACTTTTCTCGCCTGGGACATGACCCCTTGAATTTTGTGGACCCGGTCCGACTTCATTGTAGCTGGGTCTTCCCCATGAGCCTCTTCACTGCTTCCCAGAAAGAAAGACAACTCTGGGGTCAACTTGTTTGCTTTTTAATGACAGAACAGAGAAAAGAACACAGTGCCAGGGAGCGGGACCTGGGCGGCAACGGGACTGTGGTGTTCCTATGAGAGGGGTGGGTTGAGATGGGGGGCCAAGAGGGCTGTTAGTGCCTAGGGGAGGCTAAGGAAAGGGAAATGCCTTGATGCCAGAAATGGGGGCAATTCCAGCGGCGAGAAGGTTTGGATCCCTGAGGCAGCGCTAGCATATTGGGCATAGATGGTTTTTCCTTACTCCTCAGACTGCATTTCCATCCCCCAGGGACTGTAAAGGGGGTTCCTACTGATTGTGACAGTGCTGCAGGGGGGCAGAGAGCTCAGAGGCCTGGAGAGACAAGGTCCTTCCTGGCCCGCGGGACTCCAAGGAGACCAAAGCAGCTGTAAAGGTGAGAGAAATTGAAAAAAGAATGAAAGAAAAATGTCTCTGTCCAGATTTTCTAGTGCCCAAACCTGGGTACCCCCAAGTCTCTGGCTCTCTCACCTACTTTATTTTTGTTCCCCTCAAATTGAGCTATCCAACCTGGCTCTGGCTACTGCTGTCTCTCTATGCAAGACCAAGCATCCACATCACCTTCCACCACCCCACTGAGTTCCTCTCCAAACATACCTGGGCCCTGCGGAGAGAGAGAAAGTGGTCCTCTGCCTGTGGATAGGTTGCCTTCTCTTCTTCTAGACCAGGATATTCAGTATTGCTGGGGAATCCACAGCCCACTGCATCAGACACCAGGGGCTCAGATGCAGCCCCAGAGCTGCCCCACTGGGCCTTCTTTAGCCTGTGGAGACTTTGGGCTTAGGAAAGAGGTTCCTGGAGGCCAGTCTTCCAGTCACCTTTCTGCCCTAACGTACGTCCTGCTGGGACCCAGGGGTGTTGTCATTTGACTTCCAACTCTCCACTCCCAACTTTTTGCTCCTCTCAGACTAAAGTATTTTTAATTCAAGGACTCAGAGGTGATCTCTAGCTCCCCACTGTCCTCCAGTTCTATGGAGTGCTTTCTTCAGTGATCCAGTTTCCACTCCCAGCTCATGTGGCTCGCCCTCCATCCCTCAGTTCCCTCCTTTCCACATTATGGAATTCTGCTTCAATTTCACCAAGTCCATGATTCATTTCCAAACAACCAACAATTCTCTCAAAACTCTCCACCCCTTCCTTAGTTCAAACCATTCTGCCCCCACACTCTGCTTGGCTCCCAGAACCCAGATGTCTCTCCTTACTCATTGATGATTCTCTGTCGCCTCCTTAGATCTTCCAGGTGGTAACTAACAGCTCTTACTCGGGCTGGGATGCACCCAGATCCCTGCTGCAGTCCTGCCAAATGTGGCCTCCTCCTCTTTCTTCTGCAAAGCATTTCAGGGGGTGGGAGCCCCTGAGGTGGGTACACGCCAGGCTGGGAACAACCAGTACCTCTCAGTGATGGGAGAGTCTCATGGGAAGGACTCAGCTATGATGGAGATGGGCTCGATTTATAATATTTAAGGGGTCATGCCCTAGGAGAGAAAAGCCCTCCCCCTAGTGCCAGAGAATGGGGAAAAGGAACTAGAGGGCAGAACTGGCTCTCAGGGGAGCTTGAACTGAAATAGGGAGTCAGGGGTTTTAGTAAGCCCAGATTGCAAAAATAGCTGTGATCTAGAAAATATGATGATTGATTCATGGAAAAGAAGGCCTGGTCAGTGCACTGGTTAGGGGACATTAGAGGGGAGGGGTAATAAGGAGAGCTGGGTATAGGATGGCAGTGGGTGCAATTTTAACTGAGAAGTATTGAAGGGCAGAAAGTTTGTCATACCAGCAAGGGTGGGATGTACTGTTCCTCCATCCAGGTGGGACTGTGAAACACAAAAACCGACTAAGTGTAGAGAGGACACCTCCATCCATATTGTTTCTCTAATGACCTCTCCCAACCACCTATCTATCTGGCATTAGGAGCTACAATGTCCATCAGCCAGTGGGACAGTTATCCTCAGACTAGGGCATAAGGCTTTATGGTTGTTTAAAATTGTACTGCCTTGCCTTCATATCTCCAAATAGTCCCTGTTTTCCCCATTTCTACCTACCTGGGCCTTTGATTAAGGTTCTCCCAGAAGAGGTCTCCATAACGCTGGGGTGTCAGTCTGAGGCTCTTGGAAGGCAAGCTTGGGGATGGAGATCGGCTTACCACCCTGGAACACCTGAGGTGAGGACAAGGTAGGCTTGGGTTTGGCTCTTTCCTTACAGCATCTACAGGGATTCAGAGGCCCTTTCAGTGGGACCATACAGCTGCCCAGGCTCCTTTAGGCCATGTCCTCCCTTATCCATTTTAGCTAAGGTGATAAGGCCTCTGATTTGAAATGAGATTGGAGCTGGAGTGAGGGTGGAGATTTGCAATTGTTTGAGCCTCAGATCTTAATGAATCTCAAGCTTCTATGCCCTACAACCAGGGAACATCATATTTAGCAAGCAGGGCTGTTAAAGAGGAAGGCCCCAGATACTCAGGTGATGTGAGAGACAGGTTCCTTTTGGTCAATGCAAGGATCCAGGACAGTAGAACCTCTGTTTATGCCTGCTTTGTCTCCCCATCTCAGAAAGACTAATATCCTTATAGGTAGTGAGGATGTACAGAGCTGTTTGAGAACAGTGCTCATCACTTCCAAAGCCTGCAGATTGAATGATGACTGCTTCCTAATCTCTAGAAGGATAGCGTCCTAGGGCTTAGACATGGGCCTTTTATCTTCTCCATCTCCATCTCTCCTTAGGTGATCTTACTTAGGCCCATGACTTTAAATACCACCAATGTGATGATGACTCCTAAATCTATATTCCCAGTCTTGGCTCCTCCTCTGGACTCCAGACTTGCAGGTTCCAACTGCCCTCTCAGCATCTCCCTAGCTTGTCCCATCTTGCAGAAAGGCACCCCAAAGCCCAGTTGCTAGAGCCAAAAACCTGGTATACATCATATTCTCTCACTTCTCATATCTAATCTATCAGCAAGTCCTGTCCTACATTTAAAATATATCCAAATTTGACCACTCCTCACCATTTCCACTCCCACCACCATATTCCAGCTCACCTCCCATTGCCTAGACTATTGTAATGGCCTCCTTCTCCTCTCCCTGCTTCCATTCTAATCCCCTACAAACTATTCTGCACAGAGCAGTGTGAATAATTTTTTAAAAATGATCACGTGAAATCATATATGGTTTGAGATTTACTTTAAAATAATCTGAGGAGTAGGAGGCTGGGTGTACAGATAAAAAGACCCGTATAATGATAATTATTGAAGCTGACTGAAAAGGGTATACCAGGTTCATGATTACTACTTTCTCTACTTCTGTAATTGTTTGAAATTTTCCATAATAAAAAAATTGAAGAAAAAAAAACGCAGTGTGCTCATGTTATTCCCCTACTTAAAATCTTCCGGTGATTTCTACTGTCCTTAGAATAAAGTCCAAACTCTTTTAAATAGCCTATAAAGTCCTCTGCCTAACTGTATGACTTTACTCTCCACATTTCCCTTGATCCCTAAGTTTCAGTTACACTGGCCTGCTTCCTGGTTCTAGAAGATAACAAGCCTGTTTCTTTATTGGGACTTTTTAAAACCTACTATTCCTTCTTTTCTCCCTTGGTTTTTATCAGACTGGCCCCTCCTCATTTTTCAGATCTCAATTCAAATTTTTTTTTAAAATTAAGTTGATTTGCCTACTCTTCAAATAGTCTTCCACAATCACCTTATCTAAACTTGTGTCTCTAAGACATTCTATTTTTCATGGTAATTATCACTAGATGATATTATATTTATATGTTTGCACGTTCTATCTCCCCCCTCTAGAATTAAGCTCTATGACCAGGACTCCTATCTTTCTAATTGCTGAATCTGGTGCCTAATATAGTGCCTAGAGCAGTGCAGTGCTCAAAAACTATTTGTTGAATAAATTAATGAATCATCAATCCCCGAGCCCAGCCACTAAGCTTCTTGTTCCTTATTTCCTACTCTTCTTCGGAAAGAACTCAGGCATGCAATCTTCCCTCCATCCTGTCCCCATTCTCCCCACTGGGTGGGGATGACTCACTTGGCAAAGGGGATGAAGTTGTCTCCATCTTCCTGTACCTGCATGACTGGACTGGGCTGGGTGGTTGGACTGATTCTCCTCATTGGTGCTGGGAGGATAATAGAAAATGAATCATTCACTCATGTATGGAATGAACATGTAATAGATGTAGGGATGAGACCAGTAGCAGACCTAGAAATTGGAAAGGGGATATATGGGTCCTGCAAAAGGAAAGAGAGCTTAAAAAGTATTTCTAGTGCTGGACATTTCTATTAGTTGAATATACAGATTGAAGAAGGAGAGCCTAGGAAATATAGATGTGATAAAAGATACAGCAAATAAATTTTCTGAAGCCAAATGTATAGAGTAAGTGAAATTTACAGATGACAGTTAAGTGACTTAATTGGCAATACAAGATGATGAAATGAAAAAGGATGACAGATGGAAACTAGATAGGGCACAGATATTTGGTGTAGTGGTATAGAAGTGGTGGTTGAGAACAGTAAGAGAATTGGGGGTGGTAAAAAAAAATCAGGTATGAGGAGTTAATGAAAGTGTGGACAGAGTAGTCAATTGGTGACAGAAAAGGAGGGGGCATTTGGGAATGTCTATAGATAAAGAAGGTGAGCAGAGATCAATTGTACAGAGCTAGAACTAGAGGAAGCCAAATATGACCTGAAAGCCAGTTTAGATGGGCAGAAAAAGCAGCTAAGAATGCTAGTTAGAAGAGTGCCTGTAGGAAGTATAAATGATAGAAAAGGCCAATTGGAAACTTTATCCAAGGGCAACTAAGGATGGGCTGAGAAAGCAGTTAGTCGAGGTAAAAAATAAAGGAGAGGCGTATTTAGGGCTGAAGTGGCTGATGTGATAGAGTTGGGTTGAAAAGATAAGAGAGGCCTAAATGGGATGTCCTGAGCTGGAGGGGGTAAATAACTCATGGGGCAGTTGGGAGCTGAGAGGCATCCAGATCTCAGGCAGCTGGGTTTAAGTGGGTGACCTAGATCTAAGAGATAAGATGGGGCTTAAGGAAGCTAGCTGGAGTACTCAACAGTTGACCTAGCAGGTAGCCAAGGCCTTGGAGGGCAACCTGTGTCTGACAAGGCAGATGAGGACCTGAGGGGTCAGGCTGAGCTGGGAGGAGTGGGAAGGGGATAGGGGTAGGGGCAGGGTAGTCTTGCCAGGAGGGAAGGGCCAGACCTTAGGGTGTGGCTTCATTTAAGGGGGGGTAGGTGGACTGGGGGCATCGCCAGGCTTTCAGAATCAGCCAAGCCTAGGGATAAAATTGGAGGCCTGAGGAATGGATGTGGCTCCCAGGTGGTGGGCCCATGCCTAAAGGGACAGTCTGGGTTGGGAGGGGGCCAGGCTGGGTGGGGAGGGGTGGCCTGGGCCTGAGAGGGCACCCAGGCCTGAGGAGACGGCCCGGGCCTGAAAAGGCGGCCTGGGCTGAGGCGGCGGCTAAGCTTGCCAGGACTGCCGAACTTAAGGGCCAAGCAGGGACAGAGTGCCCAGCTGTGCCGCCGCGAACCGCACTTGGCCACAGCACCTGAGGCAGCTGAGCGGCGAATTCTCGAACGACCGGCCGGGCGGGGAGGAGGAGAGAAGTGACTGGATCGAGGGAGGAGCCGGCCTGCACCGCGCGCCCGGGGGCGGGGCCATTAGGGAGCCACCTCCTGGGCGGGGCACAACGAGCGGTTGGCGCGCCTCCGACGGCGGCGACGTGCGCGCGTCCGGGGCCTGGGTCCCCTACGGGGCCCGCCCTCACCTTTCCCGGATCCTAAGGCGCCAGTAACCCTCCTGAATCCTGGCATCCTCCTCGCCCTTCTGCGTCCGCAACTTGGTTTTCCCATCCCTGCCCAGTGGGCCCCACAGCCCCGAGGGCATTGCCGTTTTAACAGTAGTCCGGGCCGCTCCCGAGCTCTTCTAGGCACGGCGCGCGCCCGCTCGTCCGCGTGCGCG